CGGGATTGCAGAGGAACAGACATGTTCTTGCTTTCCACTTTCATCTGCTCTTTTTCAGGATAGAATGTTTGCAAACACTTCCTTGCCATATGTGCTAAAGTAGACTATTGTTTCTCATTTTTAATGTTTTCTGCGCTGATAATATAATAGCAGGCCTAATAATGTATTTGGTATGAAATATGTGCCTTAACAACATTCTAACAATGCAAAGCAACATTTTAAAAACATTATAAATGTGCGGCCACATTAATCGCTGTTCTGCGAATCGCAGGTGAAATCTAGTCGTTTAATAGGAATCCATGCAATCTGGAATTTCATATATTATAAATAATAATCAAAACTTACGTTACCAAAACATTTAGAACATATTTTTGTTAGCGCAGCACATTAGCAATATGTTGAAACATGCTAGAAGCATGCTAGAAACATCAAGTTCGTAACATGTTAAAACATTTTAGTAATGTTAGCTAAGAACATATAGCAATGCCAAAAATGCAATGCAAGGAACGGGTAATGTTAAACCATGTCAAAATGTGTTTAAACATTCTAGTAATGCCTATATCAATGTATTATCAACATGCTAAAACATGCTAGAAACAAGTTAGCACAATGCTAAAACATGGTAGAAATGTGGTGAAACATGCTAACAATTTTTTTACATGCTATCGTCATCTGACCTTCTTTCTGTCTGTCTGACAGTAAAACCTTCAAACCTCAATTAAAACTACTTTACACATTCATGCCAAACATAAAAATTTGTAAAACATTAAATCGTTATATATTCTGTCTTGTTATTATTTCAGTTACGATACATTTATTTATATGGCTTTATGACTGTTTTGGGCACAAAAAATATATATATATTTGTGGCATTATAAATTGACCTCTATATGGTATACCTCTTTTAACAGAGACCATAACATACAGTATTAGTTGATTGAAGGGGGGGGGGGGGGAGTCTCCAAAAGGTGGACAATGAGCACGCATTTGACAGCATCTTTTGCGCATCAGTTATCCACACAGTGTCTGTGTATGTCAGTGTGATGACAGGCTCAGAAATGAACTCTCTGAGCTTTAGAGTGGCCTCATCGATGAATAAGTGCACTATAATGGCTGGCCATCCATCTATGAGCAAAGCTACAGGGATCAATAGCCAGAAGGCATCAGGCAGGAGGCAGGCATATGATCTTGGTGAAGAGGCTGTTATCTTCCTTGAACCCTAACAGCGTCATATAAAGTGCCGCACAAGGCTATTTGATCTGAACCTGCTTGCATTAAGTTTGACTATGTCTCAAATCTGCTGCCTACCTAAGTTGCTGTTTTTGGGCATCACAGCCTTTTCGGATGTAAAGTCTATCTCAAGTTAAAGGTAGAAAAAGTATTATCTTTTGATATATCCTTTATGGTTAAACCAATCGCACAACACATTGTGAAGAACATAGAAATAAATCCCTCCAAAAATGGAAGAGCAAAATATCCAAATATATTGTTTGCAGTGATATAAAATTTAATTTTATGATATTTTCATTTTATTTCATTCATATGTTCATGATTTTAATTTAAAGGTACACATTGTACAGGGTTCCCACACCTTGGTTAACCTGAAATTCAAGGACCTTTCAAGGACTTTCCAGGTCAAATACCCTCAAATTCAAAGACTAAACCCTCTGGTCCTCTTCTTTTAGGGGTCACACTTGGCTCCGTCGCAGTCAAAAGGGACCGCAGCCTTGAAATGTAACTTCTTTTTTTTTCCAGGAAAACCAATGTATTATATTTTTGTTCAATAATATTTTTTGATGATATTATTCAGAATTTTGAAGGAATTTTATAATACTATGTAATATTTATATTTTTTTATGAGCTATTTTTTTCCATTAGAACTAATTTTATAAAATAAAATAAAATCAATAAATGCAATATTTCACATTAAAATAGAGTGGAGGCCTTTAAAATCCATTTATTGAAGTGAGAAAAGTGCCACTTGGAGGCGTTAAAAAAATAAAAAATTGTGTAATGTCCTGTAACCAACTGTATAGCTCCCTATATAAAGGCTAGGATGGCTTGAGGGGGGAGTAAATCATGGGCTAACTTCCATTTTAAAGTGAACTACTCCTTATAGTAACACGTAAATGCCAGTAACTAACGTAAATCAAGCAAGCTAGTATGCATAGGCCACAAAGTGTTGGCGAAATAACACAGCGGACCGGAGGGAATAATATGGATTTTTTTCCAGAAAACTCCTTGCAAAAAAATAAATTCAAGCACTTTCAAGGACTTGTATCTATTATGTTTGTTTTCAAAAACTTTCCAAACTTTCAGATTCACTAACTTTCATGGATTTCAAGGACCCGTGGGAACCCTGATTGTAACTTTTGACCCTCTAGCGGTTAAAAAACAAAACTGCATGCATTTTGCGGGAGAAAATTGTTTTGGTTGTGCTTTGGATCTGGGTGACTGTGCGGATGAATATGGTTATCCTATTTCTAATAAAACATTCACTACTAAGATTAAAGTTAGGGTAGGTAATTTTGGAGAGGCTTACAATAGCAGGCTAGCTTTAAAAGCATAAGATCCCACCCTCCCATCAAAAACACATGCACGTGGACAGCCAGAGCAGAGTCTGCAAAGCGTCACGAGGGACGGCGTTAAATGACCTCATATCTCATGCTGCAGATTAATTTCGGCATTGATAGCGTTGCCATGGAAACGCATAATTTCGAGGTGAGAACAGCTCCAGGTTGAACGTCACGGGTTGTCATCTCGTAATTATGGTAATTACTACATAGTGTGAACGCAGCATTAGCTTGTTGTTTTGGTTCAGGAGGAACTGTTAAAGGTGGCTGCTGCTTGTTTGAGGCGATTGGTGACTGTCTGTCTACAACCCTGCATAGCCTCATGGAAAGTGCTGATGACGTGTGATGACTAAATGCAATGATTGGACAAACTTTTTTTGGTCCTGAGACTTCAACAGAAGACATATTTGAATATTTAGACCACTTCTATAATTGATTGCTATCAGGATGTGAAGAGAGTTTTTCAACCAGTATAACAAAAAGTGTTTGTGAAAAACATTGCCTACCCTACCTTTAAGATATATAACCAGTTTAGATGTTTAGGTTTAGTTTAGGATCTCAAGCTGAGCTGAAGACGTTACTGTAGTTTTACCCATAGACACAAGTACTTTTTAAAAATATAAAATATAACATTTAAAATATATTCCAGCACAGCGCTACAACAACCATAATGAAATGACTCTTCACAATATATAATACTTTGCAATTGACTCTGTTAGAGCTACATATACTGTATGGCAATTTTATTGTTCAATAAAATACCTTACTTACCTGTTGAGTAATAAAAATGCCATCTCTGCATCACTTTTAGAATATTTCAAATCCCTCAGTTCTCGCCAAGCCAATGTTGATTCTTGTTTTATTACGAGCTCTGTCGTGTTCTCTTTTTGTCAGCAGAATCTCCTATGTTCAGCGTTTGTTTAAAACTGGTGAATCCCCGGACCCGGAGGTTCGAGATTTAGCGGCTCCATGTCGACCTTTCTCGCTCGTTGTGACAACTAACCTCTGCCACTCACACCATACACACGTCACAGTAGCCAGAGCAACTTTTCTCTATTTACGGATATGACGAGACGCGCATGTGGGCGAGTGACGTATGTACACAATTCCTTGCCAAAATCTTCACACTAGGTCTAAAATATAAACACTTATAATAAGCTTAGCTTACCATAGTGAATCAGGGTATAAGACAAAAACACATTTTAGAAGGATTGATGATGTATTGACTGGTAACACAAAGGTTGCGGGTCGATCCTCAATACCTGCAGGAAATAACTGAGGTACCCTTGCCCTGAGCGCTCCCTGGGAGCCACACCAAAAATGGCTGCCTGCAGCTCCATGTGTGTGTGTGTCCATCATGGTTTACAGTGTGTGTTCACTACTTATGTTCCTGATGTGTGTGCTGCTCTAACTTAGATGGGTGAAATGCAGAGGACAAACTCCAAGTATGGGTTACACATGTCACCTTAACTTTCACTTTATAATTGGGAAATGTTATAAATTATAACATGTTGCACCACAGGACAACCACTTGAATTTAAGTCTACTACACTTATACAGTACAAAACAAAGTACTGATATGATATAGTTCTATCTAATGGAAAAAATGTGTAGGCCCAAAACAGTGTGTGCTGTGTATTTTTGTGCTTAGAGTATAAAAACAATATCCTAGCAACATGCTCACATCAGAGTTATCTATGCTTGTGAAATTAAACACTGAGATGGAAGCATTTAAAAATAGTCCTTCCCGCAACGCCTCTCAGCTAGACACATGCTAAGAATACCAGAGCTGGGTTAGAAAACAACTCTGCATGTCATATTGAATGGCTCTTTTTCCCACATTGGGAATGCAACATTTATGAACTGATTATTAACCCTGATTGTAAGTTTTCAGTCTGTCAGCAGATTAAGTAGAATAATTTTTATTTTTTTTAAGCTGGGTTGTTTCAACTCATGTTTGGGTCAAATGTGGACAAACCCAACCGTTGGGTTTAAAATTGAATGAAAAAATGTAAACCAACAGATGGGTTTGTCCATATTTGGCCCAAACATGGGTTGAAACAACCCAGCATTTTTTAGAGTAAGCTGTTTTCCTCATGGGGACCAAATAATTTCAGGGCAAGGATTTCAGAAATTGTTCCCCATGTACATGTACCTATTATAATTACAATAACTGGGTAATAAATAGATAGTAACCCTGAAGTTGAACCTATACCCCTAAACCTAACCATAACTCATGTAGTTACCTTTTAACCAGTACTCTCTTAGGTAAGAACACTGTAAGTACACGTAAGTGCACATACTGTAAAATAAAGTGCAACCACTGCCATCTTTGTAGGGAACCATACTAGTATCTCGTAATCAATTGTTTGTGCTAGGATGACAAGTCTTGATAATCGATGTTCATCTTTTCTCCATGTCTCTCAGGAGTGTGGTACGCTCAGGCTTTGGAGGTGAATACAGGGAAGGTCAATTTCATAGAAGTGATGAATGGAAGTTCAGTGCTCTTACCCTGCACTTACGCCAGCTGCATAGGCATTAAAAACCTTTACTTCAACTGGCAGTATAAGGACAATGGGACAATGGTTAAGGTGAGACATTCAGCCGTCTCTCAATCACACTGATTTCATGCAGCTCATGCTAACAGAAGAACATTTTTACAGTTTTTTTCTTTACCCATTTCACAATAATGCTTCACACAGTTCTCTTATCGAACTTTCATCTTGGCACAGCAGTTCATTTCACATAAAAAATGTGATATCAAATCATCTCATTCTTAATTCTATAGCAAAAGTTGTCACCCAATAGGCACAGTTTGTCACTCATAAAACAAACACTAACAACATCTACCATTACACAGAATTTATTTCATAATATTTATTTACAAAACAAAAATGACAGCTCTTGACTCTTTAGAATTCACTGCAGTGTATGTTACATGGTCCATGTTTACATTACAAAATTATTCCTAAGTTTTATTTTCTTTTGTATAGATAAAAGACTAAACACATGTAGGTGTTCAGCCACGTCTAATGTGTTTAGTATTTCATTTTGTAGACTTTTTAGATGGTTATATGGTTTTAGTGTCGAAACATTGGAAATTACTGTCTTGTACAGTTTTGTATTATGTTAGGTTTTGAAAGTTAGTTTAAACGTTTTGCAAAGAGCATATAGACATGCAAAATTAGCCTGTACATATAGTTTCGGCAGTGGTTTTGTGAGAAAAGTGAGATTTTGTGTAATTTGAAAGGAGTAGTCATTGAATGCATTTTGTGCCAAAGCAATGATAAATAGCTATTGTAGATATTGTAAAATGGTGACATATGTAAACAAATTATTAGTTTGTTACATTTCTGTTTATAATTTATTCACAGTTTAAATAACAGATTATTTTCATCAAACAATGTGAAGTTGACTGTTTGATTTACTGACACAAACAGCAATAAACGATTTTGAACTGTACATGAATCATTACTTATCAGAAATCACTGGTCACAGATCAGGTATTAGAATGAACATGGTTACTTACATGTTGTGGCATTACTGTCGAGTCCATATCGTAAAAGTCTGTTTGCAAAGCCTGCACCGAAATTGCGACTGATATACCAAATAATTCACAGTGAAATGTACAGAATACAAATAAATAATGCTCAACTGAGACATTCACATTGATGAAAATAAATAACCACATTCCTAGCATTAGGATCCTTTGGAAGGTAATGTTATTTTTAGTCCAGTGATCGTGTACACTCTTCTATCCTCGTCATCTCACTAGCACGCCAGTGGGCGGGGCTAAAGTTGCGATGATGAATAGGCGTTGATCTTCTTCTGCAGAGGCGTTCTTTCAAATATGACGTCATAAATCACCACATTCCAAAACGTCATTTTCCGTCATTTTCTGTTTTTTTGGCACTAACAAGGAAGTTTTCGGTTCTGAAACTGTAAATTCCTATAGTATGATGACCTCTTATATGTCAAAAGCTCGAGGAAAATTTGATTCCTCAATTCATGACCCAATTAAACAGTGTCTATTTTGAGTGAATTCAAGCAAAAATAAATACATGGCACTTAGTATGATGTTTTGTTTCTAATGCGTCGACATTTATTTATTTCCCGTGATCTATTCCCTCAGCTTTGTGAGGCCACTATCCCAGCAGAAGGAGTAGAACCTAACGTCAAAATCTATCATGAGCGGGTGGAGTTTGTCGGCTCCAGCAAGAAAAATAACATCTCCATCTTACTGCATAATGTCACCTTCGAGGACCAGGGAGAGTACATCTGCTTCGCCCGCAACCCTAAGGAGAAGGAACGCAACCATAGTGCCATTTTCACTCTTTATGTGGTGGACGAATGTAAGTTTCCATTCTCAGTTTTGCAAAAGGTCTTACCCTAGTGAAAAAAAATAGTAGGCCTATACTTAAGCACAATTGATTAAATTGGTATACTTAAAGTCTGTTAAATTAGAACAACTAATTTTATACTAAATGTATTTTAGTTGCAAGTAGTGCTGAAGTTCAAGAAGAAGTACTAAATGCAGGATTCACTCCACTCAGCATAAACTTCAAATGTATTTTGGTGACATTATTATTATTACTGTAATTGAATTACATTGCAATTCAATTACAGTACACTCTGCAAGAGTAAACTTGAAGTGCTATTGGCATGGCATCATTATTGTGTGCTTCAAATACAATAATTTTCCCGCCACTCATCAGTCACCATGGACACTAATCCTCCACCACAGCTGCTCATCATTTAGTTTGTTATGTATAGTTCCTCTGTTTTCAGTCTTCAGTGTTGGTCATTGTTTGTGTATGCCTGTGTTTTGCTACATACTGTTTTTATACTTTTATACTTTTTATACTATTTTGATATTTTGATCCTGCGCTTAGATCGTTAAAATAGCGCCCTAAGTGTTTAACATCAGCAAGGATGGTATGATCAGTGTATAATTAAAATACAAGATATTTAAAGTCAAGTGAACCTAAAGTACTTGCAATTTCACTTTAGCACAATCAAATATACTTAAGTATGTTTTTAGTTGGACTTCAGCACTATTTCTGGATAACTAAAGTGCTTAATATATTTTTTTTTCACTAGGGTAATTATATGTATTTTATACCGTGTGTTTTTTCACGATGTGTTATAGCACTGAAAGCATCTCGACACGTGTTTGTCTTTGCAGTGAAAGAGGTGGACAACACATTGACCACAATCATTGTGTCCGTGCTCGGAGGTGTCATAGGCCTGATCATTCTCATAATGGTGGTGAAAGCTGTAGTCCTCGCCGTTCTAAGCCAGGTCCAGGAGAAGAAGTAAGTCAGATTTATGAGTCAAAATCTCTACAGTAAAGAATGTTCCCTTACTTTTTATGGCTAGATAATAACATAATCAATGAATTTTAGCCTGCCCTTTGTTGTGTTAAGATACATCCCTTACAGACAAATAAGTGTACTTACAGTTCATTTTATTAAGTATACTCAAGTAAAGTTCAAGTATATTTTTGTAGTAAGTAGTAAAGTCAAGTCAAGTCATCTTCATTTATATAGCGCTTTTAACAATGGAGATTGTTTCAAAGCAGCTTTACAGAGATAAACATACAATTTACGGTAACAGAGATTTTGGCTTTATAGCGTTTTTTGAATAATGTTATTTCCAGCTAAAGTTGGTTTTGATTGATTCACTTCCAGCAAAATTATCATTTGTTATTACATTAGGGGCCACTAAGACAACGGCGTTCTCTCTAAACAGACTTTAACCTGTGACCTGATGGCGTTCACATGCGCATAAAAAATTGATTCTATAGTTAAATTCGTTAAGTCGTTAGTAAGTATGTAGTAAGTATACTAATATCAATGTACAAGTAGTATACTTGTAAGTGTACCATTTAAAACACTCAGGACTAAATTAGCACACTTTTTAGTGTATAAAAGTATACTTATTAGTATACTTTAAGTATTATACAAATACATTTTTCGTTTGTACTGCAACATACTACAGACGAACTTATATACTGACAGTTTACTAGTTAAATACATGTAGCACATTTTTTAGTTTATGAAAGTACACTTTGAAGTATACTCAGTAAACTAGTAGTTTAGTAGCTCTATTCTGCAATTAGTCTTCTTTAAGGGAATTTAACATCATACTTATTGTTTACTATTTGTATTTATGTTATTTTTTCACTTTAAGTATACTACTATGTTCCTATTTAGGTATTCATTTTTATACTTAAATAGACTTTTAACTCTTTCCCCGCCAGCATTTTTTTTATAAAGTTGCCAGCCACCTCCAGCATTTTTTTTATCGCTTTCACAAATCTTTCATGGCCCCCAGAATATTTTGTTGTGAATATCTGAACACGCAATTTATCAAAAGAAAGAAAAGAGCCTCTGCTTTAGAATACATAAGCCTCTGCTTAAGAATAATTTAGAATATATAAGCCTCTGCTTAAGAATGCATGATTTCATTCAAGCGTCATGCATTCTTTTTTATCAACACTTGAATGTGGGTAAGTTTCATTTAAAAAAAGCAACATTTTAAGCAAAAAGCTGAGGAAATCGCGTTTTTGTCAAAGACTACGCCCAGATAGGATTCAGAATGATGATCAAAACATAGGAGTATCACTTTCATCAACACCCCATAGCTTGCCCATAGTTCTGTACCTCTTCCTGCGTTCGACATTTCATTCTGTAACGTTGGGTAGTTTTGATTTATATGCCGTTTAATGTCTGATGATCACGTTAGATTACATGCACGTCAGCAATGCTTCTATCGCTTGTTTCTGCTTCTTCTTCACCTGTGTTTTGATCTGGAGATTCTGTACTTTCAGAGCATGTGTAATAGCGCCCCCTACAATATAACAGTGAAAACATGGATTGCCGGACAATTTCATCAATGGCGGGGAAAGAGTTAAGTAGATTTGAAGTAAATTATTATGTACACTACCAGTGGACTAGCCTACAAAAAAAAACACACATACTCAGAATTAATGCTTTCTTTATAAATCAATATTTTCAAACAATGTAAGTTTCTAATACAGTATTAGAATAGATGGATGGATGGATGGATGGATGGATAGATGGATCTACAATGGGCAGTGGTTTGCAACATCACGAAAAAATCTGCAGAGTCATCTTCCCTTCTGTTCTCTGTAAATGGTGGCATGTGTGCTGCACACTATAACAGAAGGGACTCTCTAGGGTCCAGTGCTCTTCTGGTGACTTTGACATGGTGACTGTTATAAAACTCCCTGTGAGACCAGAGCAAATGTCAATAAATATCATTCTGTCATTTTGAGTAAATGTCAATAACAAGGCATTCTGGGTAATGGTGATACGGGTCATCCCTCACAGGACACCATTTCTCTATATCCTCTGTCTGAAATAAAATTCATTACAATCCCGAATCATTCTTAAGAACACATTCTTCAATAAAAGAGTAAAATTCTTGAAAAGAAAACTCAGTTTAAAATTATAAAACATAAAAACATGAAATTATGTCATAAGGGATAGGGTGCGGTCACATTATCAAAAATGTCATGGGCAATTAGGCCCATTGTCTGTTGTCAGTAGTGATCATGAAGCACAGCTGACTCTTTGTTCAGAACTGAACTTTCGGGTTGGTCAGCTTGGTGAATCCATGTGATCAGCTTGAATCAGTTGTGAAATTTACATGGGTAAATCGTTTGTCCTTACGCATAATGCCCAATCTCATGGATTCCTAAATAACACCAGTAAATGTGACCACACCTTAAGTATCAGATAAATTGACTTTTTTATGTCAAGGCAAAGTTGTTGTCCTACAATGTCCTACAATGTCTATGTCTTTTTTTCCCTCTTTCCTATAGTAAAGAGTGCCTTGTGAGCTCTTCAGGGAATGACAATACAGAAAATGGCCTCCCGGGAACCAAAGCAGACAGCAAACCAACACCAAAGGCATGAAAACAGCATGTATGTGTACATATGTGAGCATATGTACACATGCATAACTATAACAGATTGAAAGAAAGTCATAACAATGGACAGTTTTATTCTCTTTATCTCATGAGAAAAATGCTATATAAATATCATCATATATTTTAGACTGTGCTTGAGGAAAAATATGAAGTGCTGTAGGCTGGATCACTGGACAGAAAAGCATAATTGTACTACTAACAGAAAGCAGATGATGGCTGACGCTTTGGTGTGCTTGCATTCTGCTCTATCTTGTCTGTGAGACACAGCACACTCACACTGCCTTCGCAAACTGCCATATCCTTTCAATGCTCGACAGCACAAGAACCACATAACGAAATGTTTCATATAAACTTTTCTCGTGCAAATTTATACATCTTCTTCACACTGCATTCCAAACGATCCTGAGGTGGAATCACTCGCAAGCTGACAAGTCAGTAACAAAACAAACGCTAAAACAAAAATACTAAACAATTTACGCATAAAACCATGGGTGCCTCTTGACATTGGAATATGTTTACCACCAATTCAAGCAGCTAACCGATTCTGATTATTAACCTCTCCGACCAATTTTACAAGTTATAATGAGTCATAAAGAGCAGGATGTGAGTGCACTTGAAGGCCAGAAACACACTCTACGCAATAGCACCCCTTGTGGCAATGCTGATAATACAACACTAACTTGCCGTTCATTGTAAATTGTGTTCTGACACATTTCATGTGTGAAAATTAGGTTGCGTAGAGTATTTGTCATGTCTAATAGCCTTCTTTAAAGGGTCAGAAGAGGGGGGGGGGGGGGGGTGGAAGACTTACCAGAGATGCAGCTAAGGGGTGTATATCCAGGATCCAGCCAAGCACAGTTTATTCCATTCATTTCTTTTTCATGTTTTCTGCTTTAGATAAAACACAGGTGCCTGTAAACGCTTCAAGCTCCACATGCTTCCTGGGAGCCTTCAAATGCTATATAAATAATGCAATGCTCACATAAAATAAAAGCAAAAAACAAAACAAAAAAAAACCTAGAAAATAAACACCAATATAAAGACAATCCCCAGAAACCAACTCCCTGTAAATGAATGATCTTCTGATGCTGCTTTCAACAAAAATAGCCAATAACTTTGCATGTGAATGTTTTATACAGTAGGCCTACATCTAGTGTACTATGTATCCATTTCTCCGAATCGTGTTCTCCTGTCTTTCCTCGCGTGATCTAAACGTGACTGATCAATCTGTGCTTGTCGTATACATCACCCTCGCTAGTTCATAACATCATACCATCCAGACTCCACAGGACACCACACACCGCCATTGTTGCTAACTGCTAATGTTGAATATTGACATCTGAACGAGCAAGCTAGCAACCTCTGTGCGCTAACCTGCACCAGTCCTCACAGATGCTATGCTAAGAATACTGTTTTCATATCATCATACTATTCGTAAACAAGTGAAACACTTTTGTGACAAAATATAATCTATTGTAATACCTCACATGCCTCTCAATGGCTACTTACATGTGACTAGCATTAGCGTGAACCTCTCAAATCTTCTCATCGATCAGATTAGCTTGATGCTAACTTACGAAAACACACAAATTGCAGAAAATTGTTTTTGTTCTGTAAGATGTTAAAGCGAATTCTGTTTGTCTAAACAAGCCAACTTTCCAAATGTTTCAGGAGTTATTTAAGATTCAAGTGCCAAAACTGAACTGCAAGTGGAACGGTGGATGATTTAGCTGTTGCCTCCATCTAGTTTTGTTTGTCCTCCTCTTTCCTTTTGTATTGGAAACCCCATAAATGCACAATTGTCGCTCATATCCATATCTGGTTTAAGTATTATGACAAATCCATAACATGTGATGAATGTCACTTTGCGATTGTACAGCAAAAATGCAATGAAACCCTCACTAGTCTTCCGCCATAACCCAAAGATGAATGTACGCAGTGGTTGTAGTTATGGCAAATTCAGAGGGGTTGTTTCTGGGCACTTTATTCATAAAGATATATGTGTTTTGAATGCGCATTGTATATGTAGAGCGAAGAGAGATGTAGAATTTATCGCAGGATATTTGAATATGTAGTTGAATAGCTGCAGTGGGGATATTACAAATAGGGGAACAGGAATAATTTGTCTCTTTGAATGGCTGTATCTCTTATATGTGCACATATTAGCAGTCTTCCAAATCTCTTTTAGAAATCAGGGGGCTTCGGCAATCTCAACTGTTTGGAATGCTTTGACAGAGCGGTATGAAATCCAAGTATTTATTAACAGTTTTCATTTAATCCCTTTAAATTGTGTCCGTAAATGTGTCAAAATAAGCCATGATTTGGAGAAAGGGTTTGGTGCCGCTCTGTCTGTCAGATGCACTGTACAGTCATGTGATTAGCGTTGAGTGTCCTAACTGTTGTTGAGCTGGTCACATGGCCTCTTTGATTGATTTTTTTTTTTTTTTTATATTATGCTTCGTACAGCTTGTTGCCTTTTGTCATTTTCAGCCAGTGTATTTATGGATTAAACGATCGCATAAACAAGGAGATTACGTAGATCAGCAATACTGTTAAAAAAAAAAAAAAAAAAAAAAAAATGGCTGTATAGGCTCTCACGAAATGGACAGTTGTATGCAAATGAGCAACTTTTAGTAGAGCTTCTTTGTTATTATTTAGCTATTTTAAGCAATCATGTTAACCCAATTCCTGTTCTGCTCATTTTTTGTGACTTTGTACATGTATCTTTTTTCATAATGATTTTACATTTATTAAAATCAGATATATTGATTAGTATAGTATGGTGGTTCTCAACTGGTTTTGCTTTTCACTGGACCTCAAGCGGCGTACGAAATAATGCTTATTGTACAGAAGTAAACAATAATGCCTTCAGAATTAAATACTGAAAGTTGTTCATATTTCCATGAACTGCGCAAAGATCTAAATACCATATTTAACATAGTTTTGTTCATGGTTTTGGAGGTCACAACCTGTCTGTGTAGAAATCTTGACTAAACCTTCTACCAAGTGGAATGTAAAACGTGTCAAAACACCACAGAATTATTTTTCTTTTCTTCCTAACTGTATTCTAACGTGATTATGTGGCTATTTTGTAGCTGTTTTGCATTTGATTTGGTTGGCAGACAGTTGAGAACCACTGGTATAGTGCGTAGCTGTGTAGATAGACACAGATATGCAGTCTCTTGGTCTGTTTGCTTATGTCTGCTGAAATGGTTGGCTCAGCTCAGCCAAATCTGTGTTCGGTTAGTAATGTCTGAGCAGGCTGCATAGCTGCAGTGTTGCAATGCAGCACTCCATCCATGAGCCATGAATCTGCGCACGTCATGCATTCTCTCTTGATCTGAAGGGCCATGGCAGGGAAAACTAAAGGGAAATGTCTGATTTATATCTTAAAAAGAGCATAATCATCCAAACAGGCCAAAATATTATGTGCTATCAAAAGTGTATACATTTTACTTACTCAAAATGCATGTCACATACTTACAGCTACTACTTTAAGGTAAATATCTACAGCTGCACTTTCAGGCAGGCTGCTTGATCTGGGTTGAAAGAAAATATGGGATTTGGAATATAAAATGTGCTTTATGTGCAAGTTGTTTCTCTGTATTTTGCAGGGAGAATTTGTTCTACATACGTGGGTTGTCCAAAACCACTTGCACTCTTTTAAAATTCTTGTACTTATATTCATTTGAGAGTTTGGCTCTCTTCGATTTGATCCTATACGGGAGCAGATTGCCATTTTGTAAAGTTGACATACAAAATAATGGATTTCCAAGAGAAACAAAAACTGGATTTCACTGCCTGGGTGACTCTCTCTCACTGCCAAGCCAAGAGAGTGTGAGGACTGCTATGTGCTCCAACACATTCCAAGACACTCTGTCTCCCTCTAGTGGATTTTAAGACTTCCAACATTTTTAAATGATTCAATGATTCCAGTCACACTGGCTATGTTTGGAATGGCAAATAAGCAGTGTTGGGGGTAAAGCATTACAAGTAACGCGAGTTAGGTAATCAGATTACTTTTTCAAGTAACTAGTAAAGTAACGCATTACTTTTAAATTTTAAACCAAAATATTGTGTTACTTTTTCAAATAACTAACACAGGCTTATTCATTTCACTTTTGGTGTGAAAGGGCCTTTACAGTTGCCCAAAAAAAGTTTTTAAAAAAGTTTTTAAAAAACAAACAAGCAAGCCTATAGCCCAGCTGAGAAAAAGTGCTGTAAAAGTAACGTAACGTAACATTTCTATGAAAAGTAACTAAGAAATGCAATTAGTTACTTTTCAAGAGAGTAACGCAATATTGTAATGCATTACCTTTTAAAAAACTTACCCCAACACTGCTAATAAGTTTACTGCTTACTGCATACTGCACAGTATACATTGGATACTGTACACTTTTTTTTAAAATAGTATGCAAAACAGTATGCATTATGCTTCACTGTTTTCACATGACGTAAGTCTTAAATTTAATCCAGTTGGAAATAAAACATATTTTCAATTTTTAAATAACATTGTGTAAAAATTAATAGAGATAAATCCAGAAAAGATATTAAAATCAATCCCACTAGTCATGTTGGGTGCATTGCATTGTGGGATACCAATTCTAGTATTATTTATATACTATTACTACATTTATTAATATGTTAAGTTACATTTTATTTTAATATTTTAAATTTCCATTCTGATTTTACTTGTTACTTCATTTTGCCAAGTCAACATTACTGTTTTTAAAGCTATAGTTCTTCATGTAATATTTATATTTACCAAAAAATGATTTTGAATAGTTTTAACAATGACACAAGCATACTGAACACGTAAGCAAATGTGGCAGGAATCACATGCATTTTGAAAACTGCATATTGCATACTGTAAAAAAATAGTACTAGTAGAATGCTAGCATGCTAATCCAAACCTAGCCATTGTATAAGAACATAATTATGTAGAGTTTTAAAGTTTATATTTTACAGATGTGCATAAGTATTCTTTGTGCACTAAATAGACTAGACAAATTTAAGAGATTTTATTCATATATGTAAACCAAGAAAACAGCCTAAAGGATACAACTTTCAAAGCTACTTTAACAAGCCCTGCTGTACCACCCATCAGCACACCCAGGAGAACGTTCCTTTCATTTTACTTCTCTTCTGTATGTTGTAAAAGGAACTGGCTAAACAAAAAGGTAAAAAGATCCGAATGAATAGCATTGAATAACAGTTTGGTGAAAACCGGCTCTGGCTGAGCACTTTAAACGCTTATAGACACATGTCATGTACTCAGAAAAAAAGATAACATTTTAAAGAAGTATATGTATGTACAGCTTTTGTCTTTAAATTTCCCTTTGTACAAACATGTCATATTCCCTTATCATAACTATGCACCGCAGTAGATTTCTCTGGATTGTAAAGAATAAACTAATAAATATATCACTATGAGAAATAAAGGTTTGCAAAAAAAAAATATTACTTGTGTGTTGTGTTTGATTGGATAATCACATTTGTTTTGTTGGGTGAGTCATTGACGAAACCAAAGTTCCTTTAAGGCAAGTCATTTCACTCGGCGGCCATCTTTGAAACGCCTCTCGGGCAAATATTTCAGTCATGCAAGTACAGCTCCTATCTCTTTGAATGAGGAAACAAAATTCTTCAAAGCTGTTGACCACACTTCACTTTATTATTCTAAATTCAACATTTTACAAACATAAAACTGTACAATATTTACAAAGAAATATCCTTTACTTTCACAAGTAGGGTGAATTGAGGTAAAACACGCTACATTTGACACTGAGATGACTCTCAACAAAGTCCTAATTACATGAGTCCACCCTAAATAAAAAAAATACCAACATTCATAAGTTAACAGTACATGAAATCATGTTTGAATTACATAATTTTAGCTTTGCGTGCAGTTTAAACAAACACATTTTTCTGAACACATATCAAAAATCAAATGAGTCTTACAACTCAAGAATCGAATACTACCCCACAAAGGGAAATATGTGACGACCACATAATCCTGGTCTGTACAAAAATAGTTGGCCTCTATAACTGATGCCATAACTTGTCCATTAAGATTTGTTAAACATTGTAAAAGCACCCATAGTATTTTGGCTGAGTAAATGAGCACTGGCATTAATTCAAGATTATAACATGGCACCTAGTATAAAAGTCCTCAGACCTCACAAAAGTAAAAGTACAGACATCTTGAGATGAGAAGAAAAAAAAAGAAAGAACCCTCTTGTGGCTGCTGTCTCAAAGTGCATTTTAGGTCACTTTGAATTAAAGGGACAGCTCATCTAAAAATAAAATGTCACCCTCATGATGAGAGGCTGTTCACTGCAAAGCCAATGGGTGGAGCATGATTTCAATCTCCCACTCCCCTGGATGTAATCTGGGAGTAATGGGTGGAGCTAGAAGATCTAACCATATCCCTCCACCTGTTAGATCCACAGAGGTCAAGATCCACCCATGACGTCCAGAGAGGGGGAGCTGGACCTCATTTGGCACTTGCTCATGACTTTATGATGTTCCTTCTTCAGCAGAACACAAATGGGAAGAAATATAGCAGAATGTCCAAGTTGCTCTTCTCCATACAATGAAAGTGAACGAAAAGAGTTTTAATTTAAATTCTTTTTTGCATCTTGATTGACCCTGCAATCTTAAAAGGTTCTTTATTGGCATCTATATTTCCATGAAAAACCTTTAACAGCCATATAAACTTTCCAGTGCACAGAAAAAGTTCTTTAATAATTTAAAGAACCATGTTCCTTTCTAAAGTGTTCACACAAAGAAAAAGAAAAAAAGGTTCATCTAAGAACTGTTCAGTGAAAGGTTCTTTCGGGAACCCAAAATAATAATTATATGGAATTGCTGTGAAAACCCCCTTTTGTAACCTATATTTCTAAGAGTTTGTGCATAGTATGTAGGAGAGAAGCGTGAACATTCTTCAAAATGTCTCCTTTTGCACTCCACAAAAGATAAAGTACTACAGGTTTGGAATGACATGAGGGTGAGTAAATGATGACTGAATTGTAATTTTGGACTGAACTGTTTAAGATTTAAGAAACCTTTAAGATTGCATTGGTGCGTCCCAAAAGTGGTAGTTCCACAAAAGACGACATTCACTTGTCTCCTCATTATTCATACAATATATAAGTGTGCAAAATCTTTCTCGTGGCACCTTTAAGTCCCTGAGTATGCTGACCAACAACTCCCACAGCGATTCCTCCGCACATTTGTGTAAATCAATATATCTTTAGTACCATATCTCCTTTTTGTGCATTGAGGACTTTGTGAATTCGTACTATGGGTTTTGCTGGTGTCTTCTCCATCCCAGACTCACGGAAACTCCTGAGGATGACAAACAACCATGAGTATTCCAATATTACTAGGTGTACACAAACACAGCAATTCCTGAACAATATGCTCATACCTGCATAACTGAATGGACCCAGTCAAGCATCTGGTCCATATTGGTGTAGACACCAGGACGACCTACTCTGGCACAACCCACACCCCAGCTCACTACACCCACCAACATCCAGCGGTCAGATACATACACCAAAGGACCACCGCTATCACCCTTAGAGAGAGAAAAAACAAACGGTTATTCTAATAACATTATCACACTCTATGAACTAATGGTACACAGAAAAGCAGAAAACGTACCTGGCACGCATCTACTCCTCCCTTCAGATAACCTGCGCAGATCATCCTAGGAGTGATGGAAGAGCCGTACACCGTGGGACTTTGGCACGCGGCTCTGTCTATCAAAGGGATCTGAGCCTTTTGTAACTTTGGAGACAAATTCCCTGCAGGAAAAACAGCCAGGTAATGTTAAATACTGAGAGAGGGCTTCGATGGCAAGTCAATTTGAATCTGTCAGGGAGGAAAAAAATAAATGGAGGATTAAAATAAAAAGACAGGAACCTTTTTCCGTCATATGGCCCCAGCCGGTCACAACCAGATTGTCGTCTCCTTTAAGGCCAAGATCTTGAGGTGGCAGACACACCGGCCTACGGGATTCTGAACGGGATGAAAATAATGATATTAGTACCAATGTTCATGGTCGAAAGATAACACAAAACAATGACCTTGAAGGATTGACAGAGCATGGTGGAGAAGGGATGCACTGATATTAGAATTATGGGCAATGCTGATAAGCTGATTATAAAATTCTGTTGTATCTAAACTAAATTATTCCATTTTATCTGAATTAAAATCAAAAGTGGAGTTTTTCAAAAACATTGTAATATACAGTATAAAGTGACAAATTTATATTAACCCCTCTGGTGTCGGTCAAAAATTACAGATTTTTTTTATTTCAATGAAAAGAATGTACTATATTTTAGTTAGGTGTTTTTTATGTAATATTTTTAGGGGATTTTGTGGTACTAAATGATATTGATGCAATAGTCATCCATTTATTCACTTTTTGAGCATAGACCTGAAAATGAAATTTCCAACTTAAACTGTCATACATCATGAATGCTTGGAGCACAGACTTAAGTTTGGTCTCTTTTTAAAGAAGACAATTGGCAGATTATTGCTGAAGTGAAAACAGAGTAAGTTGTGTTCCAAATTTGAGGTTGATATCTCAAAAAAAAAAAGTGCTTTCAGTAAGATTTTGTTTTGGCGCAGTATCACTAGATGAAATTTGTTTCCCCATTTATTTCCAATGTGGTCATTTTTGAAAAAAGGTTTGACTATTTTTGTTTTTCAGGAACATTTAACCTTTTCTAATCATCTCCAGAATTTTTTTTTTCACATATCAAGTGACAAAACCTAAGTTTTGTACCATTTCGAATCTCCAGGCTTAACTCTTCATATTTAGGCATCCTGAATTTTTTGGTGAGTTTGTGTGTGCGCTTGTCTGATTTACCTCCCACAGTGATGGGAGACTGGAGTTTTATCATGGCAATGTCATAGTCGTTCCGTCCTGAGCTGTAATCTCTGTTGACGATGATCTTGTCCACAGAATAAGCTCCAGAAGATCCCATATATGTGATTCCAGAGACTACATTCCATCTGGCCAGTGCCTTCTTACCATCCCTGATAAAACAGAAGAACAATGTGACCATCAATCATTGTCCTTTTAGCGTACACCCTGTATTAGTTCTATTTACAAAGCTTCCATTTATGCTTCAGGTAAGATGTGTGAACAATTCACAGTTGTGTTTCTTTTTTGCATGTTGAATGAAAAATGACGTACAGCATAGTTTCTGAACCAGATGGACTTGAATGATTTTCAGAAATGAATGGTGTTTATAAAGAAATCTTTGAAGTAAGTGATAAAAACATGTCCACTTCCGTGACTCATGTTTTCCCCATGTAACAGACAGACGTAATTAGTAGACGTTACTACACGCACTTACTATAATAACATTAAGATATGCATAGATACAAGTATCTAACCCTAACTCTATAGGAAGTACATGTAGTTAATTAATATTACTTATTACTTTTAACTATGTCACCTTCAAATAAAGTGTAACCCAAAGCACTTATTGTGTACACATACATGCATGCAATTACAGCTGTATTACATCTATAATTAATTACACCATCTTCACACCCTTAAACCTACCCATACCACCAAACCTGTTCTTAACCTTACCTAGATCCTCCTTCATGTTGTATTGCAAAACACTTTTTCTGCTCTTGAACACAATAAGTCTACCGTACCGGTAACACTTTATAATAAGTATATAGTAATAAAGTACTTACAAATCATTTGCAAACTATTAGTTTATAGTTAATTCATAGTTGCATTGTTAATATATTAATAGCTTATATACAAATAATGATTTATTCATTCATTCTCACTGTAAGTTACAAATTATTGTTGTTGCTCATGTGAAGAGTTAATGTTTTTTCATGCTTTGTATCCTAAACCTAACCCTACCTGATGCATTTTAAAACCGTGATTTACATGCATAACATTTACATAACATTTGCGTAGACACAAAAAACATTGACAGCATTATTTAATGTGAAGAGAAGACTAGAGTATATAAACTAACTATAGTTTGCAAATGATTTGTATGTACTACATTATACTTCTTAAAGTGTACAGTATACACTTATTTTAATGTAAGTACATATAAGTTAAAGACTCCTAAAATAAAGTGTGACTGGTTGTGCTAACTAACTGAATGTATACGACCGATTCATAGTTTTCTATGACGAAACAAGGCTTTCCTCCATTTCCCGCCAGTCATTTTTACCAGGTTTGTACTATGTACCAATGTATTCAGACTGATATTAAGACCAAATTCAATATACACCTTATTGATGATGAAACCAGAATATAAATGTCTTAAGTGTTTTTCCATAGGAAACCATTATAAAGAAAACGCTTAACCATTTAGATTCTGGGTTCATTTGCTCGACTATAGTATGCATCATCAATAAAGTGTATACTGAATTTGATCCTTTTTCAGCCCACTAAGTGTTTTTCATGTTTTTAGTGACTAAAATAATGCAGAAGGTGAGTATGTGGATCACAGGTTCTCAAAACTTGCATTTTGTTCACTAATTTTTGTTTTTCATCTTTTGAGAGGAGATCAAAAATTGACAGGTCTGTGCTGCAGTTTCATGGATGTTTTGATGATGTATTTGTGCCAGTCAAATGACTTAGAACTATGAATAGAGACTCTGTTGATGAACCAGGCTTTGATAGAATTGAGCTACAAATACAATCCAAAAGTGGGAACCTGCAATTGTTACTTTAAAGAGCTATTTCTACCTGATTTAAAGGGATAGTTCACCCTGCCGGAAGCTAGTTATTTTAGTCGATAAAGACTTAAATATGGATATTTTTCATACACAAACACATCGCTTCACTTCAGAAGACCTTTATTAACCTCGCAGATCCATGTCGAGTGCTGACTTTAATCATGAATAGATGCACTTTAATGGACTTCCAAAGTTATACAGCCATTCACTCCCATTTTCAAGCTTGGAAGAGCCAGGACATTTTTTAATATAACTCCGATTGTATTCGTCTGAAAGAAGAATGTCACATACACTTAGGATGGCTTCAGGGTGAGTAAATAATGGGCGAATTTTCATTTTTGGGTGAACTATCCCTTAACTCATATAATGTATTGTTGGATGGTATAAATTAATGTATTTAGGTTGATTCAGTGATAGTACTTAATGTTTTTGACTTGAATAAAATCTTAATTCAGTTTACCAAAATAGATTGATTAAAATATGCACAATTAACAATTGATTATTGATCTTAAATGCAAAAGTCATACATCACAACTGATTATTTATTGTAATTTATATTTAAAAAAAAGTTACATCTCAGGGGCTACTTAGAGTAGAAATATTATTACAAAGTAAACTTAAAAAAATTAACTGTTTTGTATTTGAATATATTTTAAAATGTAATTTAGTCCTGTGATGCAAAGGTGAATTTAACACAATTACACAGTGTCACTTGATCCTTTAGAAATCATTCTAATACTTAACAACACTTTAGAAATCACAGGAGAATAAACTAACGCAAACACATAATACTGACAACATGGAACAATGAACAGAGGAAACTAAGGGTTTAAATACACGGAGTAATAAGGAAACAAATAACTGACAAGAAAATTAAATTAGTAACCAAGGGAACGAGCTGGCTCATGCTAGGAAATTAGGTCAACTTACAATGACGGGGAACACAGGCAAACAGGAACAGGCTTAGAACCAAAACACAATCATCTCATTTATAAAATGCGAGTACGCCGTACGCACAGATTTGAATCCACGCCAACGTTTACATTTATAAAAAGTGCTTAGTTCCACAGCAGGGTCTAAGCAGACGTACGCACTTTTCCTTGTGGTAGAGAGTCGGAGATTTGGAAATCTAAGCAATTCTTGCCGCTCACCATTCTCAAGTAGAGGATTTGGACATTGACTGGTGCTCTTTTATATGTTAATGACATTAATTAGGCAGCATATACAAGTCGGAGATCTGAAACCATTCAGCTGTGCACAATTTCACAATCATTTGTGATTTATACATTTCAATTTTGGAAGAGAGGCGTACGAATGTGTTTTCGTTCTCTGAATCACATGTACACGCATATGAGAAATGACACGCATGTGAGAAATGAATAGGACGTGGGACGGTTTCTAAATGAGGCCCAAACCAAACCAAACCGAAACGGAGAATACACATTACAATTAGTTTACATAGTTCCTAATTTACGCACCTGTTATGTTTTCCATTGATTACTCAGTCTGTGCATTTAAGCCTTCGGTTCATTTAGTTCTTTGTTTCGTCTAGTTTACATTGTTACCTGTCTATTCTGTTTATTTGTTATTAAAGATTGTTTATGGTGCGCTTCGTTGCAAGCCACTCACCAGTTACAGTATCACTGTTTCCACAAAACTGTTAAGCAGCAAAACCTTTTCAACATTGACAATAATAATAGTTTCTTGAGCAGCAAATCAGAATATGAGAATGATTTCTGATGGATCATGTGACACTGAAGACTGGAGTAATGATGCTTAAAAGTTAGCTTTGACATCACACGAATAAATTACATTTTTAAATGTATTGAAATAGAAAACGATTATCTTAAATTGTAGTAATATTTCCCCAAATTACTCTTTTACTGTATTTGATTAAATAAATCAGCCTTGAGCAAAAACATAAAAATAAAATGCATTTTGTATTATAATGTTTATACACCTACCCATTGAAGCAGTGGGCCGCAGTGACCACCCAGTTTGGAGACACCAGTGACCCTCCACAGGTGTGCTGGCCGCTGTTCTGCAAGCTGACTTGCCAGGGCCAGTTCTCAATGATAGCGTCCTGTCCACCAACAATCCGGTCCTGGCTTCTGGACTTACCACAGTCTGCTACAAAATAAAACAGCCAATAATAAAAATTCAAAACATAAATCAAAATAAAAAGACAAAACAATGTGTTTCTTATCATAACAAAAAATATATTATGCAAGTATGTTTTATGTATGTTTTATGTTCTATAAATATAAGTTGTCTGTATTTTAAACATTGAAGGGATATATAAAGCTGCATGTCTGCAGTTCTCTTCCTGTTTTCTCTCTTTAAAACATGCTTTAGCATGTTGAATTGCCCAGTCCAGATGACTGACTCTGTCAGTGAACACACCTCTGAATTATCTGATGTTGTATCATTAGAGCTGTTCTTGTTTAAAGTCTACTAAAGTTGTGGAAGAACACTGCAGCCAGAGCGACTTCTCTAGGTTTAAGTAGGCTATATGATGCGTCACATAGGTACCATAATGTGTAGTTCTATGTCTGTTTAGTTGCACTGTGTTTTGGTTCTGTTTTTTCCTGTTCCTTTTTTGCCTGTGTTCCTGATCATTATTAGTGCCCCTGGTGGTTAATTAGTTGCTGCACCTGTTCTGTTTTACCATGATTACTCCCCTGTGCATTTAAGCTCTCAGTTTCCTTTGTCCCTTATATCATCTTTGTTTTATGTGGTTGTGCTAGATTACTTCTGCAGTCTCCTCTATGTTCCTTTGTGGATATAACAAAAAAGTGTGTTTGAATTTTCCTGTGTTGTGCGATTACTACAGCCACTACTCGTGACAGGTACTGGGCTACTCTGCAGCGGTTATCGTCCCACTCGGTTTAAAATAGTCTGAATATAAACATAGGCGTACCGTAGCGATTCAGGATAAGACAAAAATGTGGTTTGGAAGATGGATTCATGATGTACCCGCTCATATACATTTTGTAAATTTAAAAAAAAAAAAAAAAAAAAAAAAAAAGGTTACATGGTGTACCTATAAATTAACAGTTTGGTTATTGACTAAAGCCCTAATTGGTTGTTGGATTAGGACTTCATAGTTACCTGAGCATGTTAACGTGACGACTGCTCCCGTATTGCATACCTTACTGAGAAAGAGGAAGAAAACATGAGAGAGTGAGAAAATGTTTACAACCAAAAATTTAATATGAATTACGTTTGAGGTTGCTGTATATATAAAATCGTTTAAAAGCAGACATTTCAAACTTTCTATAGATATATTTCTAATGTATGTGAGGCAAGTAGCCTATGCTCCGAAACTCATCGTTTCGGTTCATTTATGTGACGCACTGTTGTTCAGGGAGACCGAGACGTTTTCTTTATTTTACAAAAGCACAACGTTTTGTTGTTTTTGTGAGTGTTAATAAATAAAATGTGAAAATTAGGAATGATGTATTACTCTTATCTGTATGACAAAAAAAACGACAGCGTATTTTAAACTGAAAAAAAGCAAGTGATTGCGCCGGCGGCTCCAGTAAAGCGCGCTATCCTTTTGCTGCCTTCCCTCCACACTCAGCACGAACACTTGGATATGCGCCTTATAATAGTGCACATTTTATCTAGGTTAATGTTAGTTGCTACTTACATGTATCAAATGATAAGCCATATTTGAGGTCGATGAATAATAGGCGAACGTTTGGACTTCCTGACTTTTTTTCTGCAACTAACCGACTAATAAAATCTTTTTTCTAGCTTCTAGTTTAACATTTCGTCGACTATTAGGGGGCACCCTTACTTAAAACCACTTTTTTTCTGAAATGCTTCGTTTACAAATTATGTGTGTGCATATTTCTTTCAAATAGGTGACACTTGGTTTGATCATCTAATGCAATGACAAGTGTAGAAGTGTATATACCCGAGTATATATACTAACCGATTCGTTACGGTGGACTGGAAAGTCTGGGGTTTCGATGAGCCCACCACACAGAAATCCATCTTCAGATCAGAGGACAAAAGACCCACTTGAACTGTGCTGAAAGACGGATTACTGCGAACACAAAATACAAGACAAAGAAATTGAAACAATGCAGAATAAATGATGAGCTATATTCTATTATACATTTATTTAGCACTGAAGTCATTAATCCAAGACTTGTTATTCTGATAATAATTGTAGTTTTGCAAACTTTCAGTATTGATGTATTTCCAGTTCCTGATTTTTTACAGTTTTCTCTTGTTGTAAAAGAGTTAGTTTACTCAAATTTAAACAATTGTTATTAATTACTCATCCTCAAGACTTTCGTTCATCTTCCAAACACAAATGAAGATATTTTAAATTAAATCTGACCTCCATTGACAGCCACGCAACTACCACTTTGATACTTCATAAAGAGATAAAACTAATCCATATGAATAGAGCGGATTAGCCCACATTTTCTGTAGAGACTAGATCGCTATATATGATGAACAAATTGAATTTAGGCTTTTAATTCACATAGAACCATTGATCAGCGAACATAAACAGAAGTTTGACGTTCGAGAACAAACGTTACTGGTTCTTGAGGAACAAACGTTATTGGTTCTTGAGAAAGCTCAAATGTGCGGCGTAACATGAACCTCATTGATTCTCACACGTTAACCATGCTTGAGCTTCCATTTACCATATCTGATGTGTGAGTTGATGAATGTTTATACGTGAATAAAAGCCTAAATTAAATCTGCTCAGCATAAAGCGTATCAGTTTACGGTCTCTTTATGAACTTTTTGAAACGTCAAAAAGGTAGTGGCTGTCAACGGAGGGACAGAAATCTCTCAAATTTCATTTAAAATACCTTCATTTGCGTTTCAAAGATAAACGCAAGTCTTTCGGATTCGGAACGACTTGAGGGTTAGTAAGTAATGATTTTTTTTTGTTGTTTTTTTGTGAACTAAACCTTTAAGAGTGTAATGACACCATGATCTGTGGACCAATACTCACAATGAGTACCCCAGCTTTTGGCACGCAGTCTCTGCATGTTGTTGGGTGAAACTTTCTTCACATACACTTTTCCATTTATTCTCAACGGAGCTGAATACCTGAAGCACATTACGGGTTGAGATCAGCCGTACTGTGCAGAAAGAAAAAACGGTTTTAAAATTCAGACATTATAAAAGATTTATATTCATTATATGGTGGATATATTTGAAATATAAATCTAGCTCAGTCGTGAAATTCTAGATGGCGCAGATTGATAGGTGTTTTACATGCCATCTGCAAGCAATCACACCATTACCACATGACACAAGCTGATTGGCCTCTGCTGATTCTGTAGCCAATGAGATTGCTTGACCTCAACATTTAAATAGTCCAGTTCAGGGTTCACTAGGCTAGACCAATGTCAGATATACACCTCCCCCAGCACCACCTACCCAGATCTGCTATGGGATTTATGCATGTCTATTAATGCAGCAGCAGCATATCTTACATGACCAAATCTATCCATCCTCCAAGACCATATACATTATTATACCATATTCATTAACACGCCTATATATATATATACATAAATAATATTGGCATCTAGGAAATACCAGACAGAGAAAGAGGGTGAGGTTGGGAGATTTGGCTTGTTTGTCTTGAAACCAGACACACGGGTTATATCTGTGCTGACTGCACGTATGTCTGTGAGCAGGTAAGTGGGCGTTGGTGAGTGTGTGTGTGTACACAGGTGACTTACGGGGGAAGGTGGAGTTGGCTCCAAACGGCATTACACAGGCTGACTCATCCTCAGCTCCACTGCAGTCCTCCTTCCCATCACAGGCCTTCTCCAGCGGAATGAACTTAACCGACTTTGAGCAAAAATAATACTTGCTGTCGATCAACTGCTTGACTACGTCATGAGGAAGAGGAATGAAAACAGCATTTGTTAATAAAGCAGTTAAATTAATCGGTGTTTATGTTTCTTGAGTCACAAAAGGGAAAGGAGTGACTAAATAACTGTTGTTGATGAGAAAAAAATATTGTGACTCAAAAAGTGAATGTGTGGAAGGTTATGACCAGAACAAAAAAAATTGGTAATTTTCCCTGGCCCACATTAAAAACACTGGGAAGAAAACAAACATTAAATGTAGAGGAGAGCGGGGCTAGTTGTCACACAGGGGTGTGTGTCAGAGGGCTTTATCCGAGTTGATCGGTGTTCTCAGGACAAGGGTATTTTGGGCAAGTTGTCACTTTAAATATTATAAATGTTATACAACATTATAGAATGTTATAGGATATATTAATGTCATAGAATATATGTATTCATTAAAAGTTAATGCATTTAATATAACAATACATTCTGTATTAATACATGTATGCAATGTATTACAGTTTTCACATTTTAAATATTATACATTTATATGTAATGTCACGTGTATTAAATGTCATAGATTTAAACAATTTATGATGCATTTATTAAAAATGTCATGTTTTGAATGATATAAATGTATAAAATGTACAAATTAAAGCATATGATTCATTTATACAATGTATTAATTTAAAACATGTTTTAATTGTTATAAATTTATACAATGTATTCACTGCATTTTTCACATTTTGAATGATATAAAGTTATGCTGTGTAATGTATTATAGGTTTCATTTTAAATATTATACGTTTATATGCTGCATTAACTGAATTAAGCGTTTGAAATGTTACTATTGTTATAAATGTTATTAATTTGTACATTTATTTTATATATATATATATATATATATATATATATATATATGGTTCAATATTTATGCATGTTAGCTGCTGTTACAGAAATTGTTTTGCATTTCATAATTGTTTAATTTTGATCAATTGTAATAGGCCGTTCCAGTGACCAGCTTTACATGCTTGTTTAATGAACTTTATCTTTCAGTAACAGAGGAGCTGTCCAATAACTTTAAAGTAGCCAAGAATTTAGAGTCCGTTTTTGACTTTCAGACATACAGTATTCACTGGAGTGAAAGCATGACAACTAGGCCCTGTATCATAATCACATGAGCTTAGAGATGGGGTGGAAATAACCTAGAACTTACTGAAGTAAGCGGCCACTGCCAGAATGGCCAGTATAACCAACACGATCAAGACTGAAATGATGATCTTTTTCGTTTTTGGTCTTCTCGTGTTTGGAGTCGTCATGAGTTTTCTGTGTCTTCCAGGCTGAGCAACTAGAAGATATGAAAATGTTGAAAATCAATGCAATCTTTCTTTCTCGTAACCCACTTGAATCATGAGTATTACAAAGGAGGGTTTTGATAAATCAGGCAATAGATTACTGTACCTGGATGAGGTGGGTTTAAGGGTCTAGTATTCTCTTCAGGAACCTGAGCTTTAGTCTGAGATTGAGGAAAAGAAAAGGGAGAAAGTCAGAGATCATTTTGTTATTTCTTTGACACATACCCCTGAAGCTTTATGACTCAGTTTTGGATATCACTTTCAATGTGTCACAAGGGATTTTTTCAGACTTTCTTGAAATCTCAAACACTTCCTTGTAAACCATCCTACTCAGCTTGAACATGTAGGCCGCAATTTATCTGCAGCAAGTAAGAAACAGTTATCTGCATTTATCCGATCTCTGAGACCACAAAGAAGAAAGTGTGGTAGATACGGTACATCGAACATTTACATTTTTCACTGAAACCTTGACTTTGAAAAAAAAAAAAAAAGTATTCAGTAGTTATAAAACTTTGCTGGCACGTTGGTTACATAAAATTTCACATCTCATCTTCAATTTTTCACCTGTTAATCTTGTTTGGTTATTTCAGTTACTGATATGGAAAATTACATTGTTGGTGTGCTTAGAGACCAATACTCTCATGGCAAAGGAGGAACACTTCCCTTGTACTTATGAAAATTTAATTTTGAATGTATCAGATATGACTCCTGACATCACTAACAAAGCTGGATGTAGACCTAACTAAATAGATAGACCTATTGAGCTGCTGTTTCAATTCTAAGAGCATTTTTACCTCTTACGTCAAAATAATTTCTCTTTTGAGCTGTATATTAATATAATCAGTCGACTGTTTTTAAAAAGGGGACATTTGCATCCACCACAAGCGAGAAAAATCATTGTAATTACTAAAATAGTGTTACATTTATGTCTCCTTAAATAGCTTTTCCTAATTTTTATGAGTATTCTATCAAAGTAAAATACACCAGACGGAATGGAAATTATTTTGTAATTATTAATTAAATAATGGAAATGAATGTTTATATCCTAACATATAGAACAGCATAGTTTACTATTGAGATTTCACTGTATGCATCAAAACTAAAAGTTGAGAACATTTTAGAATATCAGAAACGATATTTAATATTTAAGACAGTTTTATTACAATTGTGGATAAGTGTAAATGTTTACTAAAAGCTTTCGAACTAAAAAAGCTTTCCCAAATTCAAGTTAAGATATTCTACTTGTACAATTTACTTTCCAAGTTGTACCCATAATTCGTGAACAACATTGCAGTAAAACAACAAATGACTCAGACTTTCTTTTTCATCATCATACAATGTACAAACTTCTTGAATTTCAGCATATCTAGAAACCAAGGAGTTGACAGGATAGATATGAATGTATAGATATGTCAAATCTTAAGTTGGGACAAGCAACTAAGCTGTCTTCCACATAGTTTTGGCAAAACCAGAATTCCAAATAATATTTGTTCATATTTGTTGAATTTTTATGTAGTGAGAAAAATAATGGACTATGATTTTTCAAATCTAAAATTATTTGAATGGTGATTTGGAAATAATGGATCAATTTGGCAGAAACTGAATTATTAAAATGATACGAATTCCATTTTATGACACTAATGACTCTGTAATGAGCCTCTAATCGAGTTTCAAACTGATAAGCCAGCCACAGGTCAGTTTCACTATTTAACTGCCACTTTGAACGGAGCTTTGAACTATCAAGAATGTGGTGTGGCATGTTCTGAATTTGTCTTGTGGTCCTTGTATCGGTGCATTGTGTATTAAGCTGCATGACTGACTTCTCAAAAGATGGAAGTGGTCCAAACACAAAGCAATGCAGCATCCCCAGTGTTTTAAATAAGGATTTAGTTTTGGGGTGTGTTCTTATTATTTTATGAACCACAATGAGGGAACACACCTTAAACATTTATTTGTCTTCTTAAATCAAAAGAGATTTGATAATGGCTTTTTTTCCACAAAGCATTTTCAAACAATATCCTCAAAACACTCCTTTGATTTATATAAATAATAATAATACCACATAAGAAAGAAAAAAAGTTGTAAAAAGTATATTAACTATGGAATACAACATACTAACCGTTCACCATATTGAGACACCACATATGTCAATTGCAATTGTTTAATATATAATTAGTTGTATTAGAACAGAAAATGACCTCTGCATTGGTTTCACGGTAAAATTCAGAATACATCTTTGTATTGTAAACAAATACTGTTAAATAGTGTAAAATATTGGTGATATTTACAGTGCAAATAAAGTTCAAATTGAAAGGTTCACACAGTAGAGCTTGAATCCCCCTTTCAACAAATACTGAAACCACAGAAAGTTCTTTGAGAGACAGAGACTGAAAGTGGAACTTCATCTAAATGGGTCATATCACATGAGGAGATCTGGACAGAGAGAACCCATCATGCAAATGGTGAGGATAGTTTGAAAAGAGGTGTTTACTAATAAAGTTAACAGTCAAATGTACAACTAAATTGTGTTGATGCACAGAACTAAATATCTAATAAGAAATCTTGTAAAACAGTAAGAGTGGCAGTTGACAAGAAACTAAGAAATTACAACAAAATAGCCTTGCTGTGATAGTCTGTATTACACAGTGTTCAGTCGTACACTCGCAGCAACATTTTGATTTTTTTTATAGTAATAAAAATCATTTATTTCAGTTAAAGAGCAGATACTAAAATTAAAAACATAATGATACCGGTATTACAGTGTTGTCACATGTCGATTAACTGGTGGGAAAATATAACAAACAAAGCACAATGTCAGGTAAGAATGTGATTGATAGCATAAATGTTTTGTTCTTAATTATTTTCCACCCTATTCAGTATATATAAACAAAGAAAACAAAAGTTTGGTGTGGTTACTTTGAGAAAGAGATCAAGTCAAACATTAGGGTAACTCAACCATTATTGACACCCATTCCAAGTGTTGTTGATCTATATTCTGGTAAAATTATTTATTATATATATATATATATATATATATATATATATATATATATAAAATGATCAGCTTTCAGGCCCCTTGAGGACTAGAAGACCAAATCTGACAGGAACAAATTGGAAGAGATTTCTCAGGTCAGAAGTATCAAAGCGGACTCCTGCCAAAGCGGATTAGTTACACATGCCAACCCAACAGCTCCTTTCAAACGGCACCCAATTATTTGTCGTTAATGTCTCAGTTTTTGCATTTAAACCTTCAGGCATACTGAGCTCACATAGGCCTAAACATTTTATCAGGAACCAGACCTATTCAAATGACTGAAATGTAAAGTAGGATTTGAAAAATGCACACAAGGATCATGTTTCTACAACATATATTATAGCAATAGTCTATCACACACACTTTTTTCTGTGCCACGGATTCAGAATCTATCATTGCACAAGCCTCCTTTACTAATGCGAACACATCCTTGTTAGAACTAGAACGAATGAATGACATACGTTATTGGGAGTAATACGGTACGCAGCACGATTGTATGATATAACATTGCTTTCATTTAACAGTTGAATAAACAAGAACTTAAGTAACTTACATTTAGACACAACCAGTAAATTAGCTCCAAATAGTTGAAAATAGTTCCAAACAAAGACAAAGCAGAATCTAAACACTGTAGTGCGTTCCGTTCCTGAATGATTCTGTGTTTTTGAATATAATGGTTGAGTAAATAAATTATTCAATGACTCGCTCATAGACACTTGTTTTCGTTCCAGCATAATTCATTTTTCAATTAATCATTTGAAGTAATTATTCGATGACTCACTTCGAATAAAGACTTTCACGTGTTTCATTTCTGAATGAATCGGTGTTGATTAACGAATAGATTAAATTAATAAATAAGACAGTCACTTGCCAGCACTTACTGGCCTAAAAAGAAATGTAACCTGTAACGAGATACTGAAAAATCCCACCACTAATGCACAGAATGACAGTCTGCATCCAAATATGCATATTCCCCTAGGTGAAAAGTAGTAGCCTACATATTGAAAAGAGTAGTATTGTCTGAAATCACAGTATTCATAAAGGTGAAAAGTACCTAGAAGATAGGCTACTTCTAGCGAGATTCTGAAGTGTGCATCCATTTACACTAGTTTAGTCCCATGAGGCCAACGGAGGATTTGGGAAGGACACGCAACTGACAATGACAACTTGAGAAATGTAGTCCATATTACATTTATTTAGCCAGATTTACATTGCTTTTTACACAGGGCTTGCGATTGTTCCCGACGCCCCCTCCGCGCGTTGGTCTGGTTTCACACTCAACTTGATTCTATCGAACCCTGGACTGCCGGTGCGTTTACGTGCATATTACGTGATCGCAAACGTGCACGGCGCATGATAGAAAACAGGACGCGGGTCAATATATTGTGTTTGGTGCTACTATGCGCAGCTGAGTGAACACAGGTTTACTGTGTGTGCGTCGATCGCATAAGGTGTCCTTCTGCTGCTTCTTTGGCAAATGGACTCTTTTGAGGAGACAGTGGATTTCCATTCATTTGTTGCCCTGATTCCACGCGCAATGCACGAATACACTGCAGGCTCACTCTGGCTCATATCAAAGGTAAATCATCAACACTATCATCCATTACATGCGTTTTAATTAATTAAATACATCACAATAAGCTAAAACGCATGCGCAGGCCACTTTATTTCCTGAACAAGTGCGCACCCGAGGCACGGTTCGAGTGCAACCGAACTCAGACCACCTCCTCCAGATAGTCTCGGTTTCGGTACCCCAGTGCATGCATACCCGGGTCCGCATGACAGCGTTCACATTAGCGAGTTTCCATGCGAACCGTGCCCCGTTCCGAACTAAACTGCCAGTGTGAAAACACCCTTAGCGTAGGCTACGCTATCAACTGCACAGTGAAACTTGCTTCTTTGAGTAGAAAGAATCAGTTTAAACTCACTCACCCTCATGGTTCTGCCACTTCTGTGGGGTTTCTGCAATCTGCCGGCCGTACAGAACACAGCAGAAGACACGGCAGTGGAGACCGCAGAAGCCACCTCTATACCAGCAAAAATACCTCTTTTCTACAATCCTCCTTTTCTTAGTGCACTATAGCTACTTCTCTTTTTCTTAAATTCTTCCTGGTCTTGCCTTTCAAC